ACTTAAAGCAGAAGAAAACGATGGCCCTGCTCTGGCACTGAATATCTTTACAGTTCTGACCTTTCAGTTGATTTCAGTGCACTTCAAACCCACTGTGTGAGCAGGAGGCTCAGCACCCCCGTGCATCAGACACCTCTGTGTGTGTGCACACCCACTCTCCCTGCTGATATGTACAGACAGAAAATGAGATTTCAGACACTTAAAGAAAGACAAGACCACATACATTTTGAATTTTTCGTCTGCACAAAATTCAGCCTGGTTTTACACTGTGCTTCTGGGCTAAGATGTGCCAAATTGCTAATATCAATTATTTTAGGACTGATAAAATACAACAGTAAATAAAATACCTGTTTTAACGCTGTAACTTCACAATTCCCTTATGTAATTGGTATTTTTGTTACCATATTATGCAACCCTTCACAAGATGCACATGAGCCAGTTTTAGCACAGATGTATTTTCTCCTTTGCCTTACCAGAAAATCACTGGTACTTTCTTCTCCTTTTCTAAAACCCATTATACAAACACTTTACATTATGCACCTGCTCTAAGTGAGATATTTTTTAATTCCATACTCATTTCTTGTTGATCATATCCTCATTCTGATTTGTATTCATGCTGAACCAAAACCCACTATTTTCAAACTCTCAGAATAGTTTGCAGAGAGAGACAACTCAAATATTTGTTAAACAAATTAAGAAGCAATCAGCTTCATTGAAAATCCAAAAAAGCTCACCACTGAAGTGAAGCTGTGAACAAGTGCAAAGAGAGTGAATGATGTTGATGACGAGCCCGTGAGTGGAAGCTCTGAGGGAAAGGGGCCCCGTGGCCACCAGCAGAGTCACCACGTGGAAGAGGTAGGGGAGATGTGCTGCCACGTCCAGGGAGTTGTTGAAGGAGAGCATGAGCATGTACCGAGCCAGGATGGCAATGTCATCCCACATCAGGTGCTGCTCCAGCGTGGGCGTGGGGGACAGACACGTCTTGTCAATGATTTTACACATCCTCCCAATCACCTGAAAAGAGAACAACCATTTTGTTCTATTCAAACAGGAAGCACAGCTCAGAACTTCAGTAAAAACCATCAACACTTAACACTGAAATTCCTCTACTGCTTGGAACCTATTTTATCATGGGTTTTGCCTTGTGGCCTGTCCTGAGTTACCAGAAAGCATCTCAGTGTCACAGGAGTAAATAAATTGAAATTATTCTATAAAAGGAAATGAAGGCTAGGAGGGAACTCACCTTGCTTGACACCAGTTTGACATTGCCAGAAGCCAGTGCTACAGCTGTGTCTGCCATCACCTCAGCTTTGATGGAGCCCAAGCCCCCCGTGGCACTGGTTTTGATGAAACTGTCCAGCACTACATCCAGGAGATCTGTTATCTGACAGAGAAAAAGAATCCTTTCTCACCAGTCAGATTAACTTTACTTTTCCACAGTGAACCACCCTTGAAACAGCAATCATTCATTTCTTAAGCTGAAGATGCACAACTATCACAAACTGAAGCATCCATTTTAGTGGCTCGTTACCCTTTTGGCCAAAAGGCCCATGCAAATTTTAGAAGCATAAAGCTGAATTCCATTAGGTTTCACTATCAGCGATTCAGAACTAGGAACTACAATTTAGCACCATTTTCATTTTATTTCCCACTTGAAAGTCTAACTCTTGATAAAAGAAGAAACCTGATTTGAAGTGCAGGAAGCAGGGTGTCTGTTTCCAGCAGAAGTCCTACCTGTCCCAGGCTGCCCCATATCTTGGCCTGGATGGAGGGGTACATTTGCTTCTCGTTGATGGTCATGGTGATGAGCTTGTCCAGGATGGCGGTGACGCGCTGGCGCTTGGCGTCGTCGTTGTGTTTGCAGAAACGCACCAGGTTGGACAGCCAGGGGGTCATGTACTCCAGGCACAGGTGCTTCAGCTCAATGCCTGCAACAAAACCCATTTGTCACACACAGCCAGCACTGGCCTCTCCTCAGAAATAACTCCTCCTCAGCCCTTTCAGTTTTAGTGCCTAAAATAATTCCTGTCCGAGTTGAGCAAAGAACGCTGGGCAAGCAGAGAAGCTTCAGAAAGGCAAAGCAAAAGGAGAGAGCAACAGAGCCAATGAGGAAGCTCAGTGGACTAAGCTAGATCTAAAATCTTTTTAGAGATTAAAATATTTTCAAATTAATTTTCAACAAGCACTGGAGTTACTTACTAGATTTGCTAAATCCTGAAATACACTCCTCCAAGAACTCCAAGGTGAGGTGGGGCTCGTTTGCTGCAAGAGTCTTACTGATAGATACAATAAATAGTGTGTTGTTGGCAGGAATACACAGGCCTGAAGTCTCCAGTAATTGGCCCTCAATCTTTAAATTAAAGGTACAGGTTAAGGCACATAGGAGATTATAGGCAGCAGACCTGTAACAAAGCAAACAGTGTGATTTGTAAGAGCTTTTTTGTACTTTTGAACATATACATGTTATACACCACAGTACTGATATTCCAAAAATCAATTCAATGCTGCTGTAGTATAAATTACATCTAAATCCCAAACTTTTTCCTTGGACTGGTTACAATTCGGAGAAAAAAAAATTCCTTGGAGAAAAAGAAGAAATTATTCCTCCACTTGCTCTGAACAATTTCTGATAAGGTTACAGAGTGTGTTGGAAGGGCTTTGTACTGGACTTCTCAGAATAGCCTGGAGTTCCAGGAAATTCTGAATCCCTCCAGGTATACCTGAGCTGCTGGGAGAGAGCCTGCCCAGAGCCCAGAGTGCCTCTGGTCAGCACCCAGCCTGGGGAGCCTGTCCTGACACAAATCACAGGCTGCTCTAAGGGTACAGCTCCCATGTTCTTAAACAAGAAGCTCAACACCATGGAAATCATATGTACCCAACAAACACAGAGTGCAAAGCAGAACTACTTCTCCTTATAAAGTGAAATTAAACTGCCTTCATGCCTTCACTTCTTCTGACAGTGTGTGCCCTTCTTCACTCATAGAAACTCAATCTTAATTTATCAGAAATCGCATTTTATGGAGCTGTGGTGGAAGAAAAGCTGCTTTTCCCAGGAGAGGATTTCTAGCAGTGGAGCAGCCCTGGAAGCCCCCCTGGCAGTGAGCAGAGCAGCAGCAGTGGCAGTGTCTGTACCTCAGGCTGGGGTCTGAGCTGCCCAGGTTGAGCAGGGCGATGTTGAGCAGGGTCCCAGGCACGTCCTTGGGCCGGATCTTGGTGTGCTGGGGGATGGAGTCGGGCTGGGACAGCTCCCAGCGCGTGCGGATGTGGATGATGGACCTGACGATGGCCTCACACTCCTGGTGCATGAAGGTGAGAGGGGTGCCCTGGTTGGCAATGGTCAGGGTGAACTGGTTCTCGTCCACCAGGCAGATCTCCTCGATCTCAGAGGCGTAGTAGATGTCGTTGAGGAACACGGTCTGGCCCAGCACCCGCGTGCGCTCTGCCGACGTCACCTGCACCGCCGTGGAGCCGACCTTGGGGACACAGAAAACTCTGGTCATCACACCAGGACAGGAAAGCTCACACTTCTACTTCCAGAAAAGATAACTGTGTGAAATTTTGTACTTCCTAATGGGGCATACCAGACAGTTGTGATTTCTCCTCTAGACAAGGGAAGAGAATTAACAGATGGTGAAATCATATTCCAATCCTTACACAAACATAACAGATCACTAGGAACTGCATTAAAAGCACTTACTTTAATAGAAACTTTGGTGTCTTTATGAGCCAGTTTGAGAGCATTGTGAAACACTTTCAAGTCCTCCTCCAAAGCCAAGGTAGCTGCTGGGAGTTTCTGCTGGTCGTGTTCGATGTGCTCTGCCAGCTTCCCTGGAGAGTCTATGAAAACAAGCCTTTTGCTCCCTTTCAAACCTGTCAAGAGCCTTTCATGGTATTTGGTGTATTCTCTGACCCAAGAGTTACAGTTATAAATAAAAACTGCTGCGACATTTTCATAAGCAAAGCCTGGAAAAACTACAAACCATTTAGAAAGAAAGTCTGTTTTAAAGCGATTACTGGGGCCAGCGTGTGTGAGGTCCACCACGATTTCATATGGCTTTGCATAGTATGGCTTCAGGGTCAGCAGCACGTGGTAGATCAGCAAATCCCCGTTGATCTGACCAGTCTTGAACCTGTAAGACAGGACAGGCACAGCTGGGTCATGTTTGAGGCCCACAGCACAAAGCCCTTGGTGCCCAGAACACCAAGAGCATCCCAGTCCTGTCCGTGAGCCAGACTGACCCTGGCACTGTCCTGTGAGCCCTGGGCCACAGCAGGGACACCAGGACACCACAGTGGCCTCAGCACTGCCCCAGCCTCCAGCCACGCTTAGTGCCCAGCATGAGGGAGCTGGGATTTAACTCAGCTTCATCCTGGAGTGCCTCTGACTTTGTAACAGCCTTAGAGATTCAAATTATATCTATATTTGTATGTGGAAAAATATATTTATCTCAGGAGTCTGAAGAATAATCAAACTTCCACACCCCAACTTTTTCAGAGGGTCCAGAGCCACTGCAGTTACTCCACCCTGCAGCACTCCAATGCCTGGGGGTGTTTCTAAGAATGGTCAGTCCTCTGAGGAGCACAGAGGATTTGGCTACAAAAATAGCTCTTTTCAAAAACTTTCACATAATTGAGAATATTTTTTTCTCACTTAAAGATCCTCTGAATTTTAAAACTGGGCAATGCATTTGCCTAAACCACATCTCCAGGGTTCACACAGCAGACTGAATTCTAGTAGGAAGAATTAATTAAAAATAAATTCATCACCAGCCTGTGAAAATTTCAGGCATTTTTAAATACCTGTCACTGCTCTGAGCTGTCATTAACTCAACTCTTCCAAGGCAAACAACAGGCTACAGAAGAGCTGATAAATGAGTGCCCTAAGCACGGGTGTAGCCCTGAGGGTTCTGGACACTTCTCTCCACAGCACCTGAGTGCAGGACAGCAGGGGACAGAACACACAACATTCATCTGCACAAGAGATTTTTTCCCCATTTCCTCCTGTGGTTCTGAGAGCTCAGTTGGGCAACTTGGTGTTTTTCCCCCAGCGTGTCATGGTGTAGCTGTTACCCAAAGGAAGTGTGTCATCACTGTGGTTTTAGTTCTCCCCTTAGAGCCACATGTCACTGCACTCACAGGTTTGCCTAAACATCACCAGCACTGCCCAAATCTCCCTGCTGGGCACTGATGGTTGTTTGCATCCTAGGAGCAAATACATGAACACAGAAATCTTAATGTCAAAGGACTAAAGATCTGAAACATCCATGCTCTGTTGACCACATCTTGGCAAGGTAAGTACACATTTTCCTTCTTCTATTTGAAGTTGTACTTCAAAGTTTCTTACAGTTTGTAGAAAATTATATGCAAAAGTATCTTTACAGAAGTTTGAGTAATTAAAAAACAGTAACAAACTGAATCAGGGAAGCTGATAAAGCATATTTTTCATTATGTTAAAGGTTATTCACAGTCAGACTCCGTGGAATTAACACTGACAGTCACTACTTGGCTCTGCTGTCCCTGCACTGCAGATCTTGCTGAGTACTGAGACCCTATCAATACCAGACACAAAGGGTTGAACTAAAAAGAAAACCAGCTCTTTAAAGAGTTCCTTTGCCCCCGTGGTTTCAAGAGCAGCCCTTCTCACCACGAGCCCGCTGATTTTTAAGAAAATCACATCTGGTGTGGAAGGGCACAGTGAACCCTCAGTGTGGCTGGGGCAGAGCTGGGACCTGGGCAGGGACAGGAGTGCTGCAGTGTAGCTCTGCTGGCTCTGCCTGTTCTGCTCAAAATTGCTGAAATGTTTAAAAACCCCAAGCTTTGCTGGGCTTGCTTTTCTTTTCCTTTTCCAGGTATGCAACAAGGAATCATCCAGGTGACTCCCACAAACAAAAATCCTACCTGAGCTGTAGCTCATGACTAAGATGGTTTCTAGTTCAAACTGAACAAACAGGATTAAGCTCAGGATGGAGAATAATTTTAGATTATGGGTGAACTGCAAAATTAAAGGCACAGATCTTTTGTTGCTTCCTTGTTGTGTAAGGAGAGATCCCCTCACACACCAGGTGTATCCCTGCCTTCCCTTCACCTCATCACACAACATCACTCATTTTTCCTATTTACACACACAAACACACCTTGTTAACTTTACAGGCAACAAACACATTTGTTTAAGAACAAACATCAAATAAACAGTGTTACTTTTGGTCACTCTGTGTAGCATTTCAATTTGCACCAAGCAGAGTGTGTAACACTCACAGGAAACACTTTCACCAGTTAGCAGAGACAGACACTGGTGGGGACACAGCCTGGGTCACTGCTTGGCTGATTAGTCACTGTTAATTTGTGGTTATTATCTCCCTATCAGACCAACCCCACTCTCACATTCCTACTCTCCAGAAAAATTCAACAGGTTCAGACTGGAATGCCACACAAACGTGGAACAGAACATATGAATGGTTACTGTCATTTGCATAATTGTTGGTGGCGTTTTAAAGAAAATGTCACAATCTGCAGAATGTTTGGGAGAAAAATACAAGAAGTACAGTTGTGATAAAGAGCTTTTTGTACAGAAAAGTAGAAAAACAAGAGAAATATTTTCCTGGGCCTTTTAAAGTACTCCAGGAACTACTCACAATTCACGTTGAGTTATTGCTGTCACTTACAGGAACGTTTTGGGTTCCGGTTCTCGGTTCTCGCCTTGCCCATCTGTTCCCTGCAGAGTTCCCCTGCTTGCCCCAGGGGAATTCAGGGAGGTGAGAAGCAGCCAGAGATCTGTGACCTCCACAGGTCTTTGTGGGTGGGCAGCTCAGAGAGAAGGAACTCCCAGAGTCTGCTCTGAGATCACCAAGCCCTCAGAAGGAAACACTTTTCTTTTTCTCTTTGCTCCATGCTCTTTTTTGATCTTTGTATGTTTTCTATAAACCTCCAACTGTCAGAAGTTTGAGACAATCTATTCTTTCATAATCTGGGCACTTGAACTCGTCCTCCTACATCCCCCCAAAGTGAGACCATGTATTTTTCATCAAGAAGCCTGCTATTCCCTCAAGTCCAATCCAAACCTCTAGGAACCAGCACCTGCTAAACTAGCACCATCATCTGTATTTTTGCAGGGGACTCAACAGGAAGATGAAGGCAAAGAGATGCAGCAACCCACACCTGGCCTTCCCTGCCATGATCATCTTCTCCCTGTGCCTGCAAACGAGTGCAAACCACACAGGTTACCCTCACCTCAGAGAAGGAACCTGGAGTCCCATCAGCCAAAACCTCAGTGGGAGCCAGAGCAGGACAGAAGAAAGCACAGACTCTCCTCTGAACCTCCATTTCAGCAGCCAAATGACCACTTCTGAAATGCAAAGTACCCTGCCATCCTCCTCCACAACGGCCCAAAATTCAACATCTTCCCCTGCCAAAACAGGAAGTACTCTGCCATCCTTCCCCACAATGACTCAAAATTCAACTTCCCCTGCTCCAAGTGCAGTTTCCACCATGGGAGGATTGGGGGAAAGCAGCAAACCCAAGAGCCCAATGACCAAAGAAACCTGTGAAGACAATAAGTCTCTCATACTGATTTGCTTCATTATCATTGCAGCTCTTGTGCTCATCTGCATCTCCCTGTTCCTGTCCACAGTCATAGCAGCCAACAAAATCTCGTATCTGAAAAGAGCCCAGCAGGGCAAACGCAGGCCCAGGAGCAATGGTGACCTCCTGGCCACCAGCAGCTTATGGCCCACAGCAGCAGGGACGTGGCAGAGGATGCCCAAGGAGACAAGTGGGACTGAGCTGATAATGCAGGAGCTGATGTCAGGGAGGGATGCTGTGAACCAAAGGAAAACCGAAGATGAAACTACTGAGAAGCTCACCAAAGCAGCAGATAATGAACAAGAGAGCAAAGAACCATCCCAGCCCCACAAACCCATTTTAACCAATTTTGTAGTTGAGATTTAATTCACACTCAGGTAAAAAATCATCTTTTGCCTTTGTTAGACCACGAATGTAAGGCAAAAACTTGGATTTCACGTAACAACAAGAATTTCTCACCAGGAAACCTAAATCCAGATTTTAGGCTTCCCATTTCTGCCAGTGGGAATGCTTGCAGCCACGTGTGGATGCTGAAGTAAGCCTGTGTTAAATAACTTTCTGTAAGTAGTGTCAAGACTGGTTTTATTCCTTTCACCAGAAATCAGGGTGACAGACAGGATAAACCAAGAAGACAGAATCTGCCCATGCTCAAAGACCACAGAGGGGAACAAGGAACAGACTGTCAGTCTGATCAACACTCTGAACAGTAAGATGCTGCACAGGCATAACCAAGTTGCTTTTTGAAGAAAACCATACATTAGTCACAACTCTGATTCAACCACTAATCCAGGATCTAGTCTCTCTCAAAATGCCCTTTTGGATTTTCCATCAGGAACTTCTAAAAACAGCTTCATTACTTTTGAAACAGACTGACTTGAACCATATTTATTGTGTTTCGACATTGTCTATGAATAGATGAAGTTTGTAGTATTTGCTAGAATATGAGAACCTGTTCAGTTTGTTAACTTCAATAAACTTGCAATATCAGTTTTTAAATGACTTATGTGACTATTTCTCTAGATCAAAATGTTAGAAAAAAATATGACCAGGCATTTTGGAATGTTTTATTCCTGTAACATTGGCTGAGGTCAGTCCCTGATGACTCACTGTGATTTCCTTCATCATGCACACTCCACTTTCTCCTGGCACTAATAGAGCATGCCAGCAATTCCTTCAAACCACAACAACTTTTAGTTTCTTTATTCTCAGAGATCTGACCTTCCCATAATTCCAGGGAGGTGCCTGTGGCTGCTGTCTCTGCAGCAGAGCTTTGCTCTTTTAAGGAAACGTGAGCAGCTTTCCACAGGCTGCTCCTGGGGCTGAAGCAGCTCTTGTTGCACTGTGGTTACAAGTGCTGAGACTGCACAGTGCCAAAGCTCCAAACATCCTGTGCAGCTGTGACCAACAGCTGTGACACACAAGATGGCTGCACAAGTTTGAGAGGACCAGGATGACTGAAGCCCCCAGCCCAGTTCCACCAGATCACTCATTACCTTGGCTGGCAGGGCAGAGAGAGCAGCAGCAGAGGCAGGACCACGGCACCATGGCAGCCAGGAGAGAGACAGAGCTCCAAAAATGCGACTGCCAGGCTCAAAGGTGGGTTGTGTAAGGAGGAAAATAAAGTTGGAAGGAGTTTGCATGCTTAGCCTAGAACTGGGAATCAACCACGGGGGTTGAAGAGAATGGGGAGGAGACAAAGAAATCAGACAAGAAACACGGAGTTAGTGTGAGTATGGGATCAGGATGTGTGTTTGCTGCAGGAGTGAGCAGAGCAGGCAGAGAGGCACCACAGGAAGGGCTGCAGAGGAATCTCTCAGCAGCTGCTGGCAGAAAACAATTGCAAAATGCCATGAGGACATATCTGGTGTGGGTTTCTTTCCGCCAGGCAGCTCTTCCAGGCAAAAATGCTCACAGAGACCAGAGAGAGCAGCTTGAGGTTCACTCCATGGTCTGCACAGGGCAGAGCAGCTGCTCAGGGCACAGCCCTCCAGCAGTGATGGCAGCTGACAGTGTCCCAACACTGTCCACACAGAAAACAGCCAGCAGAGCAGGGACAGGCTGGGGATGCAATCAGATCTTGCCCTCTGCCTCTCGATGCAGCGCTCCAGCACAGGATGTGTAAACAGCCACCATCCCATGATCACACAGCTTTCCATGACTCACCAAAAACCCAAGGGTGGCCTCCCACTAATGACCCTGAGAGAGCACAGCAAACCCACCACTGAATCACATCTGCAACTCAAATCCAGCCCCAACTTCCAGTTTCTGCTCCACACACAAGAAACCGTAGCTATTTTCTACAAGTTCAGGCAAAGAGAATTTGAGAATTTGCAGATAAGCACACAGAGGTGCTGGTGTGGCAAAGGCCACAGAGACATTCAGACCAGCACGGGCAGAGCAGGGTTTGCCCGTAGAAGTCACGATCTCGGAGATAAGAGCCGAGAGCTGTCGCTTCCTGCCTGTGTTGGCAACTTCCTCCCTCCTCCTGCACAAACTCCTGCCCGCTAAGAGCCATTTTCCACTGTCTGAGACTGAGCACACACAGCCCTCCCGAGCCCCAGACAGCAGCACCGGACACTGCTCGCTTCAGAGAAGATAAATGCACAGGTAAGCATCACCTTCAAGTATTGAGTCGATTTTGATAAGAGGGGAGGAGAATAAAAACTGAATTGAATCATTTTAAGCCGTTACAAACGTGACAGAGTTGAGATCACGATGTTCTCGAGTCATGGAACTTACTGCTCGTGTGTGTTTACACTGCTGCATTTAAAATTTAATTTTGTGTATTTGTAAACCCATAAAGACTCATGCATATTAATTTCCCAGAAATAGCTTCACAGGACTAGCACTACAGTAAGTAATGAATTAGCACAAATTGCTTGAAAGTCTCTTCAGAAGGAAAAGAGCTGTGTAGGGGATGAATTTTATACAATTTATTTCATATGGAGACATTTAGAGAGCTGAACTCTGACCAGTATAAGAAAAGTCTGTTTCATGCCAAGAACTCAACATTTGCACAATCTGCATGCAGGAATTTATTTATAAAACACTTTACCATTCGAATGCTGTGCCATTATAACTAAGTACGTGGAAAATTTTAAAGTATTTTGCTATGCTGAACAAATATGAGAACAGGAAATAAAAGTTTAAGAGAATCATCAAGAAACTTTTACTTCTGACTCGGCTCATATCACAACAAGCCACTTCTTCACTTCCAACAGCCCTGTCTGTCAATGGTGGAGAGATTTTTCCAGGTCCATAACCAGTTACAGGATTGATAAATGCTATTTTGCAAATGCTCTGCCAGTGCCTTTTTCTGATGAGGTGAAAAAATATGATAATAAGCCATTACCTTCAAACGAGCCACTTTATTACTATGATCATAATGTTGAAATTTGCTGTTATTTGTAAAGTCAGTGCCAAACCTGCCGATCATGCAGATGGGAACAGGCTTGAAATGTGGAATATTGGGGAGAGTGTTGTTTTTGCTGTGATGGTATTAAAACAGAAATGTCTGGTGGCAGTGAAGTGCAGAAATACAGTTTCTAAGTTACCATGTCCTACTTCTTCCCTGCAACAGGAGAGGACCCTTGTGAAGGGGCTGGAGGGAAATGGCCAGCAACCAGGTCATGCTGCTGCTGCTGCTGCTGCTGCGTGGGGAAATCTGGAGCTCCCTCTGTGCTGCAGCTCCTCACACTGCCACGAGCCCAGGAGCACACAAAGCCCTTCTCTACCAACTGCAAGCAACTGGGCCCAGTTCACACCAGTCTGACCAGTCACCCCTGGCTGTTACAGAGCCCCAGGACTTCCCAGAGGAGGAGGAAGCTGGGGATGGCAGCTGGGTAGCAGCAGTGCTACTTGGCAGCATTTTGATTGGGATGATCCTGGCAATGCTCATAATTCTGCTGTGGAAATGCTGCATGAGACCAACTCTGGCCGAGTCCCACTGGGCAGGCCGCTCCCCCTTCGTGGATGGGGACACCCCAGATCTCCTGATGGACTCTGAGCAGGGCACCAAGCGCTCCTCAGTCTTATTTATGCTGCCCTGGAGACTGAAACAAGGCACAACCCTGCAGGAGGAGCTGAGAGGCTCCGAGAACCCACCCCACACTACGAGCACTGAGAACGGGCAGCCAGCCCTGGGCTGCTCCCCAGCCCCAATTCCTGCCCCAATTCCTGCCCCAGCCCCAGCCCCAGCCCCAGCCAGCTCTGCAGCTGACTCCTGTCCTGCCCCAGACACTGCACCCGAGTGCTGTGACCTGCCACCACCCCCGGAGTGGCTCAGGGAGCCCCCTGAGCAGCCCAGCTCAGATCCCAGTGAGCACTCAGCACTTCACCTGCAAACAGAGGAACCCCTGCCCCCAGCACCTGAGCCACTGATCCAGGACATCCACGGAACACTGCCCCAGCCAGAACACCCTCTGTAGACTGCCAAATCAATTTTCAGAATACTCCACATTTTTCTTAAATCAAGTAATTTTCAAAAAAGTGAAAAAAGGAGAAGTTGACACAGGCAGGAACAGTGAAGTCCCAGCATTTCCTGGACATTTCCCAATTCAGCTTCCACAAGAGAGAACAACCTGCCTCTGCCTGAACCAAATTTCTGACTACAATACAGACTGTGCCCAGTCATCACGTGTAACTGGAGACTGCAGAAGGCAGAACACACACACACACACACACACACACACACAGAGCTGTGTGTGCCAGCACAGCCACAGGTAACTCATGTGGACATGTCACAGCCCAGCTCTGCACTGGGGTTTGCTCCTCTGGGCTGTGCAAGTCAATGCAATCAATGCCAGGACACTTTAATAAGGCTTTCTAAGTCAAAGATATTTTGGTCACTTAAAGCCCACCTGAATATTTGCTTAGATACAGAATGCTCTCAGTTCTAATACAAACTCATGTAATGGTTCATGGATGCTGGATTCCTTTGAGCTCCCAGTGGCCAAGTGCTTTACATGCTCCTCTCTGGGCCCTGAGTACCAGCACAGCTCATCTCCCCCACACCAGCCTTGGCTGAGCAGCAGCAGGCTGGTATCAGAAGTAAAATATATATATAATTTTTTTTTCTTTTTTTTACCAGTATTGAATGTTTATATTTATAGAAAGAAGCTGCCAGATGCTGAAGCTAGCATTCCATGAGAGCTCTGCAAAACAGCAGTTTGCAGTTTGCTTGAGGAGAGAATAAATTTGTGGATGGAGCACAGAACAAAGATTTGCACACAATAAACTTCAGAATTTTCAAACTATCACTAATAAAGAGTAGTATGTTATCCAAATGCAATTCCAGGCTGCTGTGCATACAATGGCCATAGGAAAATATATTTTCAGTTTTCTTTACTGTTTATATAAGCTGTATGATTGGGTAAGCCTAGAGAATTGCATTACAATTATACAAAGACTTTTGTAAGGCTTGTTTGCATGACACCCTGTTAAAATTAACAGCACTATAAATGAAACATTATGAACACTCTCACACTGCTTTAAGAGAATCAGATTGAGATTTCCTGTAGAAATC